TTTAACCCCTTCACTCCGGGCAGCCAAGTTGAGGGGAGGGGGGAGGAGGGGGGAGGAGGGGGGGGTCAGGCGTCTGCAGACACCCCTGCACGGGAAGAGCAGACAAATTGCGGCCGGTGAGTGACAGGTGCGGGAGAGGAGGGGTTGTTGGAGGGTGGGGTGGGGTATTGGAGGGGGTGGAGGGGGGCGGGAGGAATTGGAAATGGGAGAGGGAGTAGTTATTGGAAAGGGGGGGGGGAAGGAGGGAGGGGGAGTTGCTGGAGGGATGGGGGGTGGGAATGGAAGAGGAAAATTATTGGAGGAAGAGAGTTGGGGTTATTGGAAGAGGGAAGGAAGGGGTTGGGTTTGGGGGATGGAGGGCAGGGGGGGTAGGAAGGGCCGGGGAGGGGGAGGGAGGGAAGGGGGTAGGGGAAGAGGCAGGGCTAGGAGCAGAGTAGGGGAGGGAAGGAAAGTGGTAAGGATGCAGGGGGAGGGGGGGGGTGAAAAGTGGGGGTTGGATAGTGATAGGGGGGGGGAGGGGGCGATGGCAAGGGGTTAAAATGGCATTAGTATTCAGTGCGCATCGTGATATTCGTCTGTCAAGGCTGGACGCCGGGTGGCCTGTGACGTCATACGCACTGAGGTCGCTTGCACACTCATACAAAGTGAAAAATATGTAGTGAAAGAACATACAGGGAAAAACCCATAGTAAATGACACATAGTGAAAGACGCAGTGAAAAACGCATAGTGAAAGACATAGTGGAACACATATAGCGAAAGACACATAGGGAAAGACTCACTTTAAAAGACACATGGGGAAAAACACATAGTGAAAGACATATAGTGAAAGACACACTTTGAAAGACACACAGGGAAAGACACATAATGAAAAACATATAGTGAAAGACACATAGTGGACACACAATGAAAGACACACATTGAAAGACACATGGTGAAAAACACAGTGAAAGGCACACAGGGAAAGACACACAGTGAAAGACACATAATGAAAGACACATAGTGAAAGACACACGCAACTCAGAGGCAATGGCAACCAAAGGCATAACATGTATCGAAAACAGTTGACATGCGTTGCCATGGTTACGTCGGAAAGTAGACCAGCCACAAAATTATCTTTTATTTATGCAAAATAATAATGATAATAGTTATAATAATAATGATGGTGATAATGATAATGGTAATGATGATAATGATATGTTAAAATAAAAATGATTATTATGATGTCGGTAATGCTTATGATGATAATAAGAGCAATAATAATAATAGTAACAACAATATTAAAGATGATATCAATAATGATAAAAATGTTAAAAATAATAATAGCGATAATGATAATGATAATGATAATAATGATAATAATAATAATAATAACAAATAATAATAATAATAATAATAATAATAAATATGGTAATCATGATAATACTTATAATAATAACAATAATAAAAAGGATAATAATCATAATAACAATAATGATAATAACAACGATAGTAATAATAATGACAACAATGATAATGATGATAATGATAATAATCCTAATGATAATGATAATAGTAAAAATAGTAACAAGAGTACACATACCTTGCAGATGAAAAATGAGATCTGGTGCTATTATGAGCAGTGTGAGTCATGCCAAGTAGTTTGCAATGATGCAACAACCCTGGGCCCTAAACATATGCAAATGAAGGCCCTATTTTTTGTATATATATTATTTTTTATATTTTTTTTCTTTTTATGCGTGCGCTTGTTACGCTATATCGGGGTTTAAGTCTCAGAAAAGGGTAAATGTATAAGTACGAAATATGTTTGATAGATGTCATACAAATATCCAAATAAAGAGATGATATATATAAACAAATATGAATAAAAAATCATATGATACAAAAAAGTATATGTGCGTCATAAGAGACTAATCAGAGACTAATTCATCAAATTTTTACAAAAAAAAAAAAAAAAATCGCTTTTTGACATTAACAAAATAAAAAAAAGTTCACCCCCCCCACGAGCCAACAAGACCCCGTCATATTCATCAAATTTCATGTCCGTTATATTGCTATTCGTTCAATGCATCATATTCGTCGTACTCCTTCCGTAGAAAGTGAAAATGAAATAAGCAAAAGAGAAAAGAGAAAAGGGAAAAAGAGGGAAAAAAAGAAATGAGAAAAAAACAAAATATAAGAGAGAAAAGAAAATGGAAATGATGAAAAGTCACATTGACCAAAAGGAAAAGGAAAGAGGCAAAGGATAAGAGAGAAAGAAAGGAGAAAATCAAAAAAGGAAATGGGAAAAGGCAAAAGATAAGAGAGAAAAGAGAAAATGAAAAAGGGAAGAGGGAAAAAAGGTAAAAAAAAAAGGCAAAAAACACCTGATCTTTCACTGTCCTTTGAGGAGCGACAGCCGATAGCCTTCGTCCGAACCCCTGCAGCGAGGACTTGTTCTGACTCATGTTCTCCGACTTCGTCTCTCTTCTTCTTCCTCTTCTCCTTCTTTTTCTATTACTCCTTATTCTCTTTCACTTTCTCTCTTTCGTTTTCTCACTTTTTGATATTTTACTTTGATTTTCTGTTGTTCTTTTCCTTTCTCTTAGATTTCTTTTTTTCGCTCTCTCTTTCTGATTCTAATTCCTTTTCCTCTCCTTCTTTTGCTCTCCTGTTCTTCTTTCTCTCCTTCTTTTTCTTCTCTTCTTTCTCTTCCCCCCTCCTTCTTTTCCTTCTTCACCATCTTCTCTTTCTCGTCTTCCTCCTCCTCCTCTTCTCTCTCCTTTCCCTCCCCCCAACCCCTCTTCCCTCCTTCTTCTCTTCCTCTTCCTCCTCTCTCCTTCTCCTCTTTCTTGTTCTTGTTCTTTTTTTGTTCTTCTTCTTCTTCTCCTTCTCCTTCTCCTCCACTGCTACCTCTTCTTTCTTCTTCTTCTTCTTCTTCTTCTTTTCTTCTTCTTTCCTCTTCTACTTCTTCTTCTTTTCCTCATTATCCTCCTCCTCCTCCTCCTCCTTCTCCTCCACCACCACCACCACCTCCTCCCTCCTCCACTTGATGAAGGAAAGGACAGAGGATAGGAAATTAATAAAACGAGAGGAACCGGAAGAACAGAATACAACTTAAAAAAAATAGATGAATAAAGATAAAAAAAAAAATCACAAGGTTGGACAGCATTAACGATGAGAGGCATGCAGAGACGGGGAGGAGAAGGGATAGGGGGTAGAGAAAGAAGGGGGAGGAGAAGGAAGAAAGGAGAGGAAGAGAGGGGGGGGAGAAGGAGGAAGAGAGGGGGACGAAGGGAGAGGAAGAGAGGGGGAAGAAAGGAGAGAAGAAAGGGGGGAGAAGGAGGGAGAGAGGGGGAAAAAGGGGGAGGTGGGGAGGAGGAGAGAGGAGAGGGGAGAGAAAGAAAGGGGGGAGAAGGAGAATGAGGGAGGTGAGGAGGAGGAGAAAGAGGAAAAGAGGGGAGAAGGAGGAAGAAGGGGGGAGGTGGGGAGGAGAAGAGAGAGGAAGAGAGGGGAAGAAGGAGGGAGGTGGGAAGGAGGAGAGAGAGGAAGAGGGGAGAGGAGAGAGGGGTTGAGGAGGAGAGGGAAGAAGAGAAGGGGTTAAGGAGGAGGAGAGAGAGGAAGAGAGGGGGAGAAGGAGGAAGAGGGGGGGAAGAAGGAGGGAGGTGGGAGGAGAGAGAGGAAGAGAGGAGAGGAGAGGGGGGGGGGATGAGGAGGTGGACGGGGAAATTGGGCAAGAGATACAATCAGGACAAGGGTAGCCTGAGGTTTACAAGGCCATAAGCGCAGTCAAGATTTACAGCATCTGGGGCCAGCGAAAGAATCAGATGGAGGAGGAAAGTGACACGCGGCGAGGAGGAAAATGAGGAGGAGGAGGAAAGAGGAAGGAATAGGAAAAGGAGGAGGAGGAAGAAGGAGTAGGAAGGAGAAAGAGGATAAAAATCAGGAGGAAATACAGGGAGGCAGGGAGACAAGAGGAAGAGGAGGAAAGAGAAAAGAGGAGGAGGAGAAGGAGGATAAAAATTAGGAGGAAATACACGGCGAGGCAGGGACAGGAGGAAGAGGAGAAGAAGGAGGAGGAGATAAAAATTAGGAGGAAATACACCGGCGAGAAGAAGAGGAGGAAAGAGGAAGGAATAGGAAAAGGAGGAGGAGGGGAAGATGAGGGAAAGGAGAAGGAGGAAAGAGGAGGAGAGGAGAAGGAGGAAGGAGGAGGAGGAGGAAAAGGGGGAGAGGAAGGAAGGAAGAGGAAGTGGAGAAGAAGGGAAGAGAGTGTGGGGAGGAAGGGAGGGAGATTAGGAAGGAGAGGGAGAGGAAAGAAAGTAGGAAAAGAGATATTGACAGACTGATAGATAGATAGATAGATAGACTAATAGATAGAGAAAACGATAGATAGGTAGATAGACAGATAGGAAGAGAGAGAGAGAAAGAGAGAACGACAGACATGCAGACAAAAAGGAAAATACACAGAGACAGAGAGATTGAAACAAAATCATCCCCCCATTACTACTAGCGCCCCCCCCACTTCCCTTCCCACCCATCCCCCCATCCACATTCCACCCCATCCACCTCCATCCCAAAGCAACCCTTCCGCCGCGTCCATCTCTTCTGCTATGCAACACCTAAACCTCCTTCCCTCCTCTGTGCCTTCAGGAGTGCCCCCCCACTCTTCCACTCCACACTCATCACCTCCTCACTCCACCACATCCACTCATCCACCTAACACATCCCTCCCTTCCTTACCCATATCACAACCTTCCACCCCACATCCCACCTATCACCCGTTCCCCCTTCCCCCCACCTTCCACCCACCCACATCCACCCACCCTCTCCCCCCCCCCCTCCCCTTCACACCACACCACACCTACTCCCCTCCCCCCTTCCCCCCCATTACCCCTACATTACTCCCCCCCCCATTATCCTTCTTCCCCCATTCAGCCCCAACCCCCCACCCCACCCTCCACCCACACCACCCCGACCTACATCCACCTAACTCTGTTTCTCCCCCCTTCTGCGCCCCCAGCATGAGCGCCTTCAGGAGAGTCATGCCTTCGCTGCTCCCTCTGCTTCTTCTGGCGGGGATGCTGCGGCAGACGCGCCCCTGTGAGTACCGCAGCGTGGATCCTCGACATACCATGTGCGCCTTCAGGCCTGGTCAGTGCTCCGGCAAAGCGCTTCTGCGTGAGTATCCACTTGGGTTTCCACTTGTTTTTTGTTTTTTTATCCATTTGTACTCTCTGGTGCCTAATTTTTTATTCATTTATATGTTTTGATGTTTACTTTTTTGTTCACTTGTCTACTTTTATCCATATGTGCTCTTTGATGTCTACTTTCCATCCATTTGTCCTCTTGATGTCCACTTTTTTTGTTCATTGTAGTCTTTGATGTCTGCTTTTATCCACTCGTCTACCTTTTATCCATATGTGCTCTTTGATGTCCACTTCTTGTTCACTTGTACTCTTTGATGTCCACTTTTATCCACTTGTATTCTTTGATGTCCACTTCTTGTTCACTTGTATTCTTTGATGTCCACTTTTCATCCACTTGTCCTCTTTGATGTCCACTTTTTGTTCATTTGTAGTCTTTGATGTCTGCTTTTTATCCACTCGTCTACCTTTTATCCATATGTGCTCTTTGATGTCCACTTCTTGTTCACTTGTACTCTTTGATGTCCACTTTTATCCACTTGTATTCTTTGATATCCTCTTTGATGTCCACTACTTGTCCTCTTTGATGTCCACTTTCCATCCACTTGTCCTCTGATGTCCAGTTTTTGTTCACTTGTCCTCTTTGATGTCCACTTTCTTTCCACTTGTCCTCTTATATGTCCACTTTGTAGCAACTAGCACTCTTTGATGTCCACTTTTTTATCCATCTAGTGTCCACTTGGTGTTCAGTTTTTATGTATTTATGTATAATTTGGTCTACTTTGATATCCATTTATTGTTTTTTATCTACTCTATTTCATTTAAAAAATATATACTTGGAGTATACTTTGATATTCACTTGGTGTCCATTCTTATCCATTTTGTATCCACTTGCTATCCACTTTTGGCTCCGACAGATCCCCTCTGCCATGAGTATCCACTTTATGTTCACTTGGTATCCGGATTTAGATATACCGTCGATACCAATATTAATGGAGTTACACTTTATGAAGCTTTTTTATATTCTTTCTTCTTCTCTCTCCGCTTGTTTACTTCTTTTTTTCTTTTTCTTCTTCTTCTTATCTATTTTCTTCTTCTTCTTCTCTTTTCTCTTTGTCCTCTTTTCTTCTTCTTCTATTTCTTCTCTTCTTCTTCTCCTCTTCTTTCTTTCTTTTTCTTTTCTATCGTTTTTTTTTCTTCTTCTCCTTCTTCATCTTTCATCTTCTTCCTCCTCATTATCATAATTTTCTTCTCCTTTTAGCTAATTTTGTGACCGGTTTACTAATTGGCGGTTTGCGAAGGGATTTTTGCAGCAGATAATATCAATATTTGGCAACAGTCTTCCATTTGCATCTATCACTGGAAGGTATTCACGAAAGGCGAGGCAGATAGATAATAAGAAAATAACATTCACCAGAAAATAATATTCACAAGAAAGTTAATATTGAGTAAATATTTACACACATAATATATATATATATATATATATATATATATATATATATATATAATATATATATAATATATATATATATATGTATGTATAACACGAAAGGATGTTGATATTGTAAGAAAAGTTAATTTTTCAAATAAAAAGATATTCATAAAAATAATTATTGAAAAAAAATGAAAATGTAATAAAGGCGATATTCACAATAATTATATTCAGAAAAGAATTATATTCACACAATGAAATGATATTCACACAAGCTGATATTGACATAAAAGTTTAATACTAAAATAATAATAATAAAATAAAAATAATGATTATTAATTAATATTCACAAATAAAAATATTCAAAAATTACATCGACAAAAAAGGGCAAATATAAAAAAGTATATATATATATATATACATATTGTCAAAATAGATAATCATAAAACATATATTTATAAAAGAAGGATAACAACAAAAAGTAAATATTCACGCAAATATTTGCATGAACTATTTTTTTTTCTTAATAAATACATTCGAGACTAAAGCAATACCGTAATTAATTAACCGACATTTTCTAATCATCTCTTATTTTCTCTATTGTTTTGTTATCTTCTCTTTTTTCTTCTCTATCTCTATTTTCTCTTTCTATGCCTTTCATCAAGATTTTTCTTTTATCATTCTTCTAAATCCTGTATTTCTGTTAATCTTTCCTCACATCTGTTCAGTAATTTTCTTTTTATCTCTCTCTTTCCATCCCTTCCTCCTTCTCTCTGTCTCTATTCCCCCTCCCCCCCCTTCCTCCTCCCTCTCTTTCTGCCGCCCTTTTCATCAAGAAATTTCCCTGGACATTCTCTATCATTATTTTCTCATCGCATGTCTCTCATCATCTTCGTCCCTCACGCCTGGCCATTTTTTCTCTTGCTTTTTCCTTTTCTGTT